GGTTGGTATTTTAATTTCAAACATGTTGGATATATCAAACATCATTTTTTTTTTTTTTTTTTTTGTTTTTTGTTGTTTTATAGTATTGTGGACTAGATTCGAAAAACTTGAATATTTTATATACTCATACATGTAATCAAATGATACAAACAAAAATAAACATATCTGCTATGTTTCTTTATTTACCCAGATAATGGAAATTGAACCTCATACAAGAATCCTTACTCGTATTGTGCTACGTTGGGCGTTAACCGTTTATGCTTTAGATACGTGTGACATATGTACGTATTCAAGAAAATTGCACGTTTTTACACAAAAAAAATTCAAACTTTAATTCAGTTAATCGGTGGTAAGTCTATATATAAATATCGTAAACTGGTGACTTGTAAATCAAATATAATTGGTTTCCGGAGACAGTTTGAGGACTAAAGATTCTCTTAAAAAATACTCAAAGTACTCAGCTAGTTATTGCAAAGATCCGGATAAACTAGTCAGATTTATGCGCAATTGATATCCCATGGCCCAAATATACTCATGATTTGAAGACTATATCTTTAAAATATTCAAAGTTTCCTACAGGTATATTGTCCGGAGAAAATATTAATTTTCACCTAAATGACGGCCCAATACATTACTACGTAGCCAATTAGCATTGATCACCATAATTGTCTCGAAAAAAGAATCCATATTTTGAAATTCTCAATTTTTTATTGTATATTATTTGTGCTCTTTGTCAATAAAAGTAAATTTTAACGTGTGTACCGTGCCTTATTGATCTGTACATACTCGATTCTTTTATATAACTTTCTGGTCAAGTGATTGAGATTATGACGGTAAAAAATTCGTAAATGAAGTAATTAATATGGCAAATATTTGATACACAATTCACTATTAAAAAACAAAATATCATCAAGTGATAATAAAATGCATAATCATAAAATGGGTCACATTTTTTCATACTAAAGATATATTTGTTACTCATATAAACAGCGTATTAAGTTTCTTCGAATTTCTCTTCCGCTCAACTGAAAATCTTAATTTCATGCACCTAGCATAACTATGCCAGCCCCAACCTTATACGCATATGTGGATAAAAAGATCCGTAGTAATAAACTAACCCTAATAAAGTATGAGGACTTAAAACAAACGGATGGAGATGATTATACTGTAATGAAATGGGATAGTAAACTAATAAAATTGAAAAGGCTAAAAAATATTAATAAATGTAATGATAAAGATTTTAAGAGATTAACGCTAGAGGTTAGTATTTTATTTAATAGTATATAGTCACGTGCACAGTCTTGATCCTACTTTAACACATAATATTTATTATAGCTTAGCGTTAGCGATAAGAAATTTGAACATCCAAATGTGCTTAAAGTATTTGGCCGTACATAGGGTAGGTTCG